GGAGCAGCGGAGGGAGAAGGTGTCTGCTAAAATTGCAGCAGCGCAAGCGAAGATGATGGAGGAGTGAGAACAGAAGGACAAGACGTCCTGAATGTGAATGCCTGGAACTACGAGGAGGGACCTGCAGCAAGAGTCGAAAAGTCAGAGGACGCCTGGGTTCACGGTTGTTTTTTGTTGTTTTGTGTGGAGTCTTGGTCACTCCTGCTCAACGAGCACAAGATCCGAAGCTTTGCAGCACTTTGACACCTATGCCAATTGAACTATAGCGGGCAAACCCTGCAGTGTTTCTCGTGCTTACTGTATTTTGGCTTCTGTGGATGATGGAATGACCTTAGTTATCCAATCTTGGCATCACCGCTCGACGCTCCAATCTACCTTCTTACTGTAAACAGAACTGGACTGTTTGGTTTTACCAAGGGTTTGAAACTGAGGGAATTTCGCTTTCACACAGTCTACTTCATCAGGGGTGAAAGTCCAGCACAAACCTATAGAGACGCCACCCGCCACCGGAGTGGAGTTTGCCACCGGAGTAGTCTATACCAGTCCGACATGTGCGATGAGCGCCCATGCAGCGATCGAGAACGACGTTAAAAGTCGATCCTGCATTGGTTGTACAAAGACGCCTACCATGGCAGGTGCGGAACGGGCGTGTGGCGGTGCGGGATAAACGCGTTTGCAGCACTCACGCCCTGTTTTGGGCCTTTGCCACGCGTTCCACCCCAAGTAGGTATCCTCATTTATGGTGTCGCCACCACGTGCGATGTCTCTTCAATCTATTTGCTGTTGTGCCAAGCATTCCACACTTGTTCGAGCCATTCTCGGTCACAGCCTTTTGATGCCTTTTGTATCATTTGAACTGGCAACCTGAGAGCCGGGCATCAAAGTTCCCCGCGCAGGCTTTCCCACCTTACCTTTTCTTGAAAGAAATGGGACGCAGAAGTACTAAACTTGGGCGACGAACTCTTCTCAGGTGCGTCATATACAATACTTTCAGCTTTCCTCCTGCCTGCCACCAGACGCCGCAATGCAATGGCCAAAGCCATAGACAAGAAACAATGTCAGCCAGGTTCCAATCCTCAAAACACAGCAGAAGCATTATGCCTGTCAGCGATGGCCCCCAGCTCCCATAGCCCTCTCCAGCTTAGGATGAAAGAGTCTCCTTTGGTGCTCCGCTGCTCCCACCGTGAACCGACGGAATCCATTGCGCAAACCTGTCAGTAGCTCCCCAGACTTTTCGATGGCTTGATTTGCAAGAATCCTATCAACACTTTCCTCCGTCCTCATTCCTTTGCTGGTTGCTTTGCCTTTTTGAGCAATACAGAAGGCATATATCTTCTCGGCATCGGACTTGGAACACCTGCCAGAAGTCTTCGTAATGTTCTCGAACTTCTCTGGCAACTTTCCCCGCTCGACCGTTTCAAATCTTGCAGAGTAGAGCCCAGCGACCCGCGTGGCTGTTTTAGCATGCTGAAATGCTTGTGCTCCGTGAGCCTCCACACAGCTTGAGCGGGCAATTTTCTAGACTTCGCACGACCTTACAGGCCTGCGGTTTCCAGTGACATGCCTATGAGTATGTATGCGGCTGGTACTATGAGCCTCGACATTTACTGTAGCTGGTAGGAACAATTTCGAACAGTCGTGCCAAACTTGTAGCCAAAGTACACAGATATCGGACATCATTCCGACTAGCCGAAAAAGCTTTGTCGTTGCATCTAAAGCGTGGACCAAGTGAGCTTGCCTGTTAAGAGACGGCCGCCTGGAAGAAATAGACAGAGTAAGATAGAATAAGTCCCCAGACGCATGTTCACCGTTGTAAGGAAACTTGATGAGAGTGGACAAGATTTTGTGCACAGGGAGTTGTGGAGCATCCCCTCCCAGAGGCCTTAGGTATGCGCTTTGTGGGTGAACGAGAAGCGGACGTTCAACATGTGACAATCTCACCTCCCCAGCAATAAACGAAGAGATAAATGCACTTCGTTGTAACCTAATTGGTGGACACGAGTGGGAGCTGTACTCATTTTGAAAATTATGTCTACAGGTTGTGCATTGCTTTATATACGTCAAAATAGTAGTCTTGACTTGTTGCGCAACTTGTTACACGCCGCACATCGTTGATCCCTCTGACACATGTAGTGCTCCAAAGTAAGTAGTCCTTGAGCTCCAAGAACAAACAACGCCATTGAAGCGAGAAAGCTAAAACGGAACGTAACCAAAAGCCTTAAAACAAAATGAAGCCCAGACACCAAAATGAAGCCACACACGCATCTTAGCAACTTGAGGCTGGAAGCTGTACTTTGAACAGACTGGCACAGAAGCTCTAAGGAATCCTTGATCGTGCAAAATCCAAAAAGGCATCACCGGAGAACCAAAGGAACCAGAAAACTTACAAGTAACATCAAGTAAACCTTTGCTGGAGCAGCCTAAGCCCCCACCTCTAAAGAAGCGCAGGTGGGTTGCTGGGGTGCCTACAAAACATCGTGACCAACAGTTGCTTTCAACAGCCCAGCAAGACGTAGAGCATGATGTTGACTTTTGCATTAGAGTCTTAGAGTTGTTCACAGCAGGCTGCGGAACAATTAATCAAGATGAATCAAGCTGAATCAAGTTGAATCAAGTGAACATTTCCTCAAGCGGTGGTGCCACTCAAGTGGTGAGAAGAAAAAGGTATAAAGACCGGTGCCTAGATTGAGGTGCCACAGAAGTGTGCCCGTTCGAAAACCTCCAGCTCGTTTTCTCCTCACTGGACTCGCCTTGAATGCCTCATGGACCCAAGACCACCTGCTCCTGGCTTTAGCTTGCTCTTTCCTTCGAGACCCTCTGTCGCTACGTCATTGACTCCGTTGTCTTCGGATACCAGCGCTGCCTGCCCTGAGGGGTGCCCTTGAACGGGCTGTTCACCGTCCACTCCTCCTTTTTGGCGTTTACAAATTGGCTGGCTCAACACTAAATCACTAAATGTTTGAACTCTTTTCTGCATGCTAGGTGGTCCTGGTATTCGTGCTGTAGTTCATTGAGTATCGGGTATGTGTATATATATATATATAGTATTTTTTGAACAGTCTCGCCGACGCGTTATCGAAGACCGTTTTTGCATGGACTTGCGGTGTTGGAAATGTTGTCCTCCAGCATGGGGCAAGTCCCTGAAGAACTTCAGCATACGGCTGCCGAAACAAGTCAGACAGTACGAAGAAGGTTTGGATCTGTTTTTTGCATTCGGCGTCGGCGTCTCCAATTTTTTTGCCGAGTGCCATGGGCAACATGCAGAAGCTGCGCATAACAGACAATAAGCCAGAAGGGCTCGGGGCCTTGCACAAATGAGTGGGGATCAAATGCATTTGCTCGAGCGGTGAAGTGGCGCAAGAACAGGTCCTGGAAGGATGCAAGTCTGAACCGATTTTGCGTCACACGTCGTTCACCCTTTTTTCGTAGCGGGAAGATGTGCATTTGAACTTGACGTCGTCAGACACACATGTAACGACAACTACACCCGTGTTCACGCAGCGCGTGGGTAAAGAAAGACAGGTGCTGCGCGGCAACTCTCCGCAGGCGGGCATGACAACCCATCTGGGGGGGAGGACGCGACAGTGATCGCCAAAAAAAATCAGAGTTTGACCTTGGCCGCGCCTCAGGGACGGAAAAACATGTCATCACTGCAGTGGTGCAACTCGGTTTTGATCACTGCGGACCCCGGCGCTGGCATTCAAAGCTGGCAATGCTGGCAAAGCCGAGAAGCCTACGTCAAAATCATTCTTCATTCCGCATCCCATTCCTTATGTAGCTGCTATGGTCAGGATGCAAACTTGTCACGGAAAACTCGCCTCCATCTGAACGTGGCGGTGCTCGTGAACCGCGGTTGACTTGAAAAACGGGTCGGCTGGGCTCTCCTCAGCAAAATAAAGGCCGGAAACCTCCGTGGCTGTTGGTTTTTTTAAATGACAGACAACGACACCCAACTCGGAAAGCTTGGGGGGAGGGGCGCGAGGTGAAAAGTTAAGCGCATGTTGGCAAAGAATGGCAAAGCCGAACAGGTGAAACGGCTGAATGTCAAGGATGTGGATTGAGACAACTGAACGACATCAGTGAAAATCTATCAACGATGCACGAGGCGGAGGAGATCATGATCAAGCACACCACGACGCCGACAGAAGAAACCCTTGACTCTTGACTGTCCCACTAGGTGACCACCGAGCAGCGCGTCCAACAGTCACGGGTGCTTCAAGGCCGAAGTTGCCCCGTGGAGCGGGCGCCCGCTCACGTGTACTGGCTTGCAGCCACCTGCTGCTGCTGCTGCTGATGCTGCTGCTGCTGCTGCTACTGCTGCTGGCAAGTCCAAAAGCCATGCGTGCCAACATGTCTTGGTGGAAGTCATGCATCAGTGTTTTCATAGATGCAAAAGGTTCACATCGATCTTTGACCTTGCTCAAAACAAACTGTTTCAACATTTGAAACTAGACAGAAGCAAGCACCCGTCGTGGACAGAATGCCATCAAACACGAACAAACTGCGTTGCCGATATTTTTGCACAGCGGTGCCCAACACAAGCCCAAAGACAAGCCGGCGCGTTTTTCCACGAAGGTGCGCATGCCCCCGCTGCGCCTTCCACACCGGGCCCTCATCTCCCAGCAGTTCTTCCGCCAGCGAGCCGCCCAGTCCGAGCCCTAACGGGCGGCCCGCTGCCATGTTCATCACCATCATGATCACCGTGGGGCACCGCGCGGAAGCTCAGGCTGGAGCCTCAAGCTCCGCCACAAAGTCGGCAGCAGGAGCGCGCCTGTAGGGGTAAGGGGGTTCTGACGAACCTTTGCGTGCCCAAAGGCAAACCTCCAACTATGGACTTCGGTCAAGAAATCATTTCGCATTTGGCCCTTCCAGCGAGCCAAAATATGCTAGATATTTTTTCAACTGGACCTCGTGCTAGAGCAATGTCCTTGTTTCTGTCCACAACATGCCGGATGACCCTATAAAAACCGTCAGCAACCCATGTGCATGCTGGGCATATGGGCATATGTTCATGCTGCATGCATCCTCAGCAGTTATTATCAGCACAGGGCTAGGCAGGTCACAACATTCGAGTTAGCCTTTGGACGAGAGTATCTGCAAGCAATGACTTTTGGAGAACATGTGGTGCTGATGAGCCGACAGTCAGGAGTGACACATGGCCCACAGTGGCTACAGGGAATGTGGGTTGGAAAGGCAGGAGAAAGCCGGAGAGCAGCCGCTCGACGAGTACATACTGTCAGTTCATCGGTGCTGTTCACCAACGGGTGTCTGATACGGTCATGGCCAAAATCACG